TCTCATATATGCCTTTGGCTACATGAATGACGAAAATAGTATATACGAGCTCGGTGGACTAATTTATGGCTCTCTTGGGCACAGAGTGACGATTTTCTAAAGATTTTTTGAAATGGCTTGCTTGAGCGTACAACGATGCGGTTCCGAGCTCATTTTGTAGGCGTTCGAGCAAAGTTATACTAATACAGCGAATATAAAAATATTTCATTTTTGGTCAATTTGTACGACACTGCGTTGGCTTGAAAAATTCATTCAATCTCAAAATGGAAATGAAGCGCTTCTGTGAGGCGAAAAAATCACGAATTTGACATGACGAAATCAAATGAAACGTGTGCATGCGCAATACTACGATCTTTTTATTATCGTTTCAATGACGTCCCAAGAATATCCTGAAAAAACACATTTAATGGACTCATGATGAATCAACTTGTAACGCGCTCTAAATTGGTGAAAAGCTCAACGACCCCATATAATGCACACAAAATACTCAAAGATGCGTTTCATATTCGTTGCTAATGGACATAATTAAAAAAACCTTGAAGACGATGATACGCTCAAGAGAAAAATCGATGCTGAAATTAAGGATAAAAATGGTGCATCAGTAGCCCTTCGAAGAGTCCATACACGAGAGCAAAAATCAGGAAATATGATTGCCTACTATGAAATGAAACGATTATTTGTATGCAAGGGAATGCCGCAGGAATGCTAGCATAAAATGTAGTTAAAAATATCGTAAATATAAAAAAGATGGAAAATAGTCGTGGAAAAATAGTAGAAAAGTGGGCGCTAGTGGTGAGGCAGTAGACAAGCAAAAAAGAAGTGTTGCCACAAACCGGGATCGAACCAGTGACCTTCAGATCTTCAGTCTGACGCTCTCCCAACTGAGCTATTGCGGCTACAAATGCTACAAACACCATATTAATCCACTTAAAATATCACATATTTACACTTTTAAATCGCATTAAAATTCGCACCATCAACGCCACTCATACATCACACTAAAATATCACTCATAAACCCTCGTCGCGCTCTCCAACCATCCCCTACGCTTCAATACAATTG